TTCGCTCCGGCCGGGACACGGCATCAACAGTATGTGAGGGGCGTAACATTTCCGTCTCATGCTTGAGGTATTCGGCCAATCACAACGCACTGGATAGCTGGCCAATCAGAGCACACCTCGCTTTTTCAGAACGATGAGCTTTGTAAAAATCGGAAGTTTCAGAAGAAGGGGCATAGAGGAGAAACAATAATGTACAGCATGTGGAAAATAATGTGTTTTTTTTACTTTAAACCGCATAAACACATTTCATTACACCAAATACACCAAATAATGTTCTTTTTAGCAGCATCATATGTAGCATCATATATTTAATAATTTCCAGTTGTTAATCATGCACATAAACTACAATTCACAATGATCCATTAAACTGTTCTCTGTGAGGTACTTAATGAATGTAAAATTCATTAAGTACCTCACATTGTGATTTTCATTTTGATTATCTTCAGTATTCTGCTTCATGCAAAATGTGATTCAACTACTGCCCCCTTCTGAACACATTATGGTACTTCAACTAAAACACCCCTCACAAAAGACTCGGTCAGAATTATTTTCCTTAAATAACAGTTTATTAACTGGGAAACAATAGTTTGAACAAACAAAAAAGCATTAAACACATCTAAACTGTGGAGTATGGTTGAAAGAAGTACAAATATTGAAAAAGAAATGATTGATTAACCATGTACACAAATATCTGATGGAAGACATGATCTCGCCCAATCATTAAACTTCTATGTTGCTGACAATAGACCACTGAAGTTTTTCAAGCTCAAAATAATGATGTTTAAAAACACTGCACGTATTCAATATTTGACTATTAGAAACAAACAGAATTTATGATGCCATCTTATGTACAGCCAGTGTAATTGTTCCATGTGTTCTCACCAAAATGTTCCTGCAATGACAGAATTATATTAAGGGTCCCATTTAATACTTAAAAAGTGGCAACACTATTTATTATAAGTGACGTTATAATAAACTTTAGTGCACAGATAAAATTTTAAGAGCATGTGGTGGAGGGGCAGGTACTTAATGGGATGAAAGCAGTAGGGCTGCCACTAACGACTATTTTTATTTCGATTAATCTGTCGACTAATTTATAGATTAATCTAAACGATTAATTTCCCTACAAAAAATCAACAATTTTACTTAAGAATATTTTATTAAACCAAATGAAATTCAAATTTCTATGAAATCCTTTTTTTAAAGCAAAAGTAAAGTGCATCCATCTCATAGTCCAAATCACTGAAATCAAAGTTCAGTATTATAGTGTAAGAATGACAACATATCCACGTGTTCTAGTCTACTAATAATAAAATTATAATAAAAAACACTTTTTAAAGGAGTATTTACCAGAAATGTTATTTACCAGAATTTATTTAGGAGAAAAATGTAAATGTGCAGTATTTCTGAAAAAATCAATCTTCTTCTCTTTTTTTTTAATAAAATCAATCAATTGGAGATGCTTTTGATTATTAAAATTTAATGGAACCATTAAAATGGAATCCAGAAAATAATGGAAAACAGAATTTGGTAAAGATAAAACTGTAAAACTCAATTAATTAGACAGGCTTTTTGATTAATAAAATGTAATTTAACCATTAAAACGGTGTATAGAAAAATGAAAATGGAACAAAACTGAATTTGGAAATAAAACGGTTAGTCGACGCGACCATAATGAAGTCGAGGATTTTAAAAAAATCGAATAGTCGAATAAAATCGACGAATCGCGACAGCCCTAGAAAGCAGCAAAGTTTGGAGAATATGCCCTTAGTTCTAATGAACTATGCCCCTGAATTATTAAATTGTATTTTTTTAAATGAAGATACTAAACATTTAAGATCTGGAGTTTGTTTTATTGTTCTTGGTTGTCTCTCAAAATTAAGCTTAAAGTTCCCAGAAACTAGGCAGATGTTTGTCACTTAGCTTCTTACCCAGAGTCAGACTCCAGACACACAGTAGGAGAGTCAGTGGGGTCTTTGGTTAGAGAAGCAGCTTGCTTGGCCAGCACAGACACAACTCCTCCATGTTCATCAGAAAGCGAGCCACGGCCTGAGATTAAAACATTAAAGAAGTTGACACTTACAGTACATGGATCATCTGCAAATTATGGTGAGCCATTAAAAATATTTCAAACATTCAGGATAACCCATATGACAGCAAAATTCTGTAACATTACATTTTATTGAACAACATGTTCATTGTTATACCTGTATATTGTTTTGGACATTTAAAAAAGTGGAGAAAAAGAAAACAAGAAACAAACTGTAATAAATGTAGTGTTATTTTAGTATTAATCATATACACTGTTGTAGTTTTCATTAATATTTGGAATTAGCTTTCATTTTTATATTTAAAAAAAAAAATTGTTTTAGTTCAACTTTCAGTAATTTTAGGGCCTCCACTTAAACATATCTAAGTTTCTTATTTTCATTTAGTTTAATATTTATTTTTGTATGTTTTTTTTCCATGTAACATATATATATATACAAATACACACATAATCGTTTTAGTTTGGGTTGTAAAGTTCCCATTTTGAGTAATAATAATGTCCCCAGTTTTATGAAAGTAAACTGAATTTAACCACATTCAAAACATTTATATTTATCTATATTTTTGGCTATATTTTTGGCTTGTACACTTATGTAAATATTAACATTAAGTTAATGTTGCTGGAAAAAATGCACGCATGTAAACTACTCAAATAACACTATCATCATGACCTAGTGGATGAATGAGACAGTATTTTACTTACATCCTAGATTATGGCCTTGAGCGTCTGTGCACAAAACCCCAACAATGGCAGGATTTTTCATTCTAGTGGAAGAAAACAGATGAGTAATGCAACATCTAAAATAAGTATATATGCTTGGAAAAGAATGCTATATTTTAACGTACGTGTCGTCAAGATGCTGCTCCAGTGCACCCTCCATAATAGAAGCCTAAATAATGTTCTTAAATGAACAGAAAAATAATATATTGTGGAGAGTGTAGCAGCGATATTTATTATTTGTATTACTTCCGGGATGTCAGCTGACATTCTAACACGCAACTCCAACACTACGGCATCCTCTAAGGAAACAATGCTAAAAGCGCATATGATTTAGCGCCATGTAGCTCGAAGTCTAGTCTTGTCAGTAAATAAAAATATACTGTTAGCAGCTTAACCCTCTACATGTAGCCAGAGATGGGCATAAATACATGAAAATGTATTTAACATAAAAATACAAAATACTGTGTGGAAAAAATGTGTTTAAATATAAATACAGTATTTTGAATTTTGAAAATACAAAAAATACATGTGAAATTGGCCATCCAGTGCAGGTATCCGTATAGGCTGAAATCTATCTGGACCTATTCTGGAGGAAAAAAACAAACAAACACACACATTTCAATGTGTAGCCTACAACTGCTTAGAAATTTTTGTTTTCATTTTACATATCTTCCCTTCCTCATGCCCTGTACGAAATACAAAACTACAAAAAAGCATATTTATTTCATGTTAATTATATATTCGCTTACCTCGATAGGCCTTTTTCTATGTAAACGATTTAGAAAAAGTTCAGTCGATTCACACTTTATATCATCGCCGACGCCACGATATGTAGCCTATTGTCCTTTCACCCAGGCCTAACATGCAGTAATGCTTTAAACACATTCGACAAGCTAGTTGATAAAAAACAACAACAACGGATTAACTATCAAGCCTGATTGGCTAACACTATTCAGTGCTCTTTTATTCTTTCATGTTAACTGAAGGCAACTCTGAATGATGCACTTTTTTAACTTTAATTAACAAGTACAGTTGACCATGACATCCTCACCTTATATTATTCCAGAAAAGTCGCTCACCCAATGCTGAATGGAGCTGTACAGCTACAGCTCATCTGATGAATGTTGGGGGGAGTTCATTCGTTTTTTGATTTAGGCCTAATATTGAAAGTAGAAAAACTAGAAAACGGCTCCTTTTTCATTTTTTCATTCTTTTCAAACGAAATCAGCACACTCATAAAGAGGTTGACTGGCACAAAGTATTTTATGTATTTTGAAAATACAAAAATACTAATCTTAAATGTATTTAAATACAAAATACATTAGATTTTTTCCAAAGGCTTTTAAATACAAAATAGTATTTTGTATTTCAAATACATATTTTAACATGTATCTGAAATACTGCCCATCCCTGCCTGTAGCCTGTAATGCATTAGGCCTATGGGTTTTGGGTTAAATAAACTTTAATTTGATGCACGTTAACAGGAGAACTAACAAGCTGATAGCTTAGTTTTTGCTCGACCAAAATTATCAGCTTGCACCACAAACCAGCTCCAATGTACTAAAACACAGCAACCAGCTTAAGATGGATGTTCCTGCAGGGCTATGGAATGCTTCAGCCGTGACGTCAAAACCCAGAAATATAAATTGACATCCAAGTATTGTCAATTTATATACCACAGACCTTGTTTTACACATAAATTGAAAAACCCCATAATAAAAAAACATATGGAACGCATGGTGAATTAGTCTGAGTTTTGACATCACGGCTGCAGCACTGTATTGTTATTTAGTTGATGATCACATATGATTCAGTGGGTAGATCAACTTTTCTTTTTCTTCCTCTATGTCCTTTTTTATAAATAATACATTCCTAAAGAATTCTTTAAAAAAATCTTTAAAGGGCAAATACATCCGGTTAACATTTAGCTGTCATTGTCGATGAGAACTCCCAGGGGAATGTTCACTGTTGATATCTCTCTAGACGACCCCATGCTCTGAACAAAAGCAGAATAAAAGACCAGTCCTGCTCCTCACCATCAATTGTTTTTGAGCAGAAGTTCTTTATCAGAAACCGATGCATGCAGTCTTCACCACTTTGAACTCATGATAGTGAGGCACTCTCTTTTGTGTTTTGTGAGCCTGTTTTAAGAATCAGTTTTCACAAAGACAATTTTTATGTCATATCCATTATAAAATATGCTTATATAACTGTAGCATATATCTAGGTATATATCTATACCTTTTATTTATATTGGTTAATGGGCTTATTGTGCCAAAATTACACGTTATTAATATTAATGTGTGGTGGATAATTTAAATAATTCAAAAATAATTAAGTTAAAATGAAGTTAATATAAAATATATATATATATATATATATATTCTCTCCATTTTTGGCTCAGTTTTCAAACTGCATTTGTTATGAAGTTATGCTTAATGGCTTTAAGGCTCTTTTAGCTAACTTGGATTCTCCCCTGCCGGCAACGCTTGATGATTTCTGTCCAGCCCTGTACAGTTACAGGCAAGTTGGTCTGCTGACGGGGCAGGAAGTTGCAATGTAATTACGTGGCCTGGGCGTCAGTGACATCCATCACTTTCACTGCAGTCAAGTAATGCACTGCTGACTAACCAATGGCATTTTCATGCTCTCGCTAAACGTAAATCAAATCCCAACAGATAGGACTGACATTTTCCAGCCCGCTATCCTTCACTCCAATTGCCTTCAAGTTGGATATTTTATTTAGCTATAATTTCAAGAAAGCTAATTGATTCTGTATAGCTGCGTTTCATCACGTATCTCCATCCCAAGGGCTTTGATGATCAGCAGTTCATACAGGCTATATCCACATTTTCATTTGCTTCTGACGCTGATAAAAAGAGCGTGGCAGACTTTATAAGGTGCAAGGCCATGGATAATTGTATTTCTTTAAAGTATTGTTTGCTGAAAGCACAATTAAAATACTTATAAACAAACATGCAAACAGCTTTTATGAATGGCAGGCGTTCCAATTCTGCATAAATCTGCAGAGCTTTGTGTGAAGTTCTGCAGGCATGCCTTGTAGGCCTTCCGATGACCTTACATTGGCAAGAGCAGAAGGACGAGACCAGATTGAACTTGACACGAGAAACTGAAGAGTCCTTATTTTTAAAGAATCCCTTCATGACAAATATACTGTTTGTAGTGAGTAGGGCATATGTGTCCATGATGAGATGTAATTACTCTTGCTACTGCTGGGTCAAGGAAGTTTTCAGGCTTGAGAGGACATGATGTCGAATGCGTTTAACCATCTGTGCCTGACTGGCACATTTAAAACTTGTAAATAGGAAATTGTCAGTGAATGACAGTGCATATTATGTCATGGAGTGACTGTAGGCTTAAACGACTCAAATGAATTGACAAGTGCTTAATTTGTTGTGATTTACCTGCGAGCTGCATCATATTGTCAGGAAGCAAAAATAAACATTTCTCTCATCAAGCCCTTGTGCTGATGACTCATTTCCTGTGAACTTACTTGACTTGTATTGGTACTCTGAAACTTGGCTGCAAGTCTGACATTAATTTGGGTGATGAAAAGGGTGATGAATCCTGTTCAAATGAGAAGGTGATAATTATGGCTCGTGGACTCCTGTAAAATGAACAAGTGCGTAGTGGAGAAGTGAATGAGGGAACGGGAAAAAAACTGAAATGACTTTAACAAGCTGTGCATAAAACCAGAAGCATAGAGGATATTGACAATGGAGTAAATCATTTTGAAAATATATATTATTTGAGAATTTCAGACTCCTCACAGCTCTTACATTATTATTAAACAAAACAAAACATATTTTCAAATATATTTTAAAATATGTTCAAAACATGCAAAAATGTACAAAAAATATATTTATATTTTCATATATTTTCAAACAATATATATTTTTGGCCATTTTTGGTGTAGTTTTAAAATATATTTTGAAAATGTAAATTTATACTTTTAAAAGCATTTAAAATATACTTTGCTCTCCATACATTTCAATCCAACAAAATACATTCACATATGTCACATTTAAAGAAAAATCAGCAAGGAACATACAGTATTACAATATTTGAAAAAAAATAAAAAAAAATAAATATGATTAAATCACTTATATGTCTCTGCCCAAAGCTTTGATCTATAGCCTAAATGTAGGCTACTGGAGGATTATAAATGTATTTTCTTGCCCCTTAAAATACATTAAAACATTTTGAAATGTATGTTGGTATATGAAGGTTGAAACTATATATAATTTTAATTTCAAAAATATATTTCATTGAGCTTCACTGTTTACAACATATATTTAGCATATATTTAAAATATATTTTGGTCAGAAAAAAATTAACTGGAAGATTTACTGAAATATTGTATAGTGATTTGAGCTCCAGTGATTTCCAACCGGGGGTACTTGGAAAACTTTTGATTTGTTAAACCTATAAAACAGAAAAAAACTGATTAAAAGGGTATTTTAAGGAAATAAAATAATAAATGAATAAACAAAATATTGTTTTGTGTGTTCTTATAAATGAATGTGGATGACACTCATACCAGAATATATGTAAACCGTTCTTCCACTCATAGATCAGCTGTGATTTTAATTAAATTTGAACTTTAATTGTATTATTATTTTAAATGATATTCAGTGTAAGATGAGTTGACAATATGAACACATTTCAGGCTTCAATGAAGGAGTACTTGAGCCTTATTGATGGGGCTTTGGGGGCATGTAAGACAAAAAAAAGGTTGGCAAATAATTATGTTCTAAAATTAACTCAGCTGATTAATAACCACACAAATCCAGGGGAAAATGTGCTACTGTAGCTGGTGTCATTAGGAAAGATTTGCTTGAAGTGAAACGTCCATCATCTGGTCCAGCGTCATACAGATAGAGATGACGAAGTCCCTGCGGAGGTGTGGGTGGGGGGAAGAGAGGGGCGAGGGGAGATAAAGAGAAAGAGAGATGGAGAAAGTAAGAGAGAGACAGAGACAGACCTCAGTCCTAATTTCAGAAGTTACCAAAGACTCCACACTCTGAGAAAGGAGGACAAGACCAGCAGAGAAGTGAAATCATCTCAGGGCCATACAAAGTCCTCTGGGAGCTCCACAGGACAGAATAGAGATCAACAGGGAGAATTAGAAAGATACAAAAAAGAACGATCAAGCTCTTACTGTTTAGTGGTGTGTATTTGTGTCCCGTTGCTGCTATGAGCAGGGTGTTGATTCTGTCCGTGCTCCTGCTGTCCCTGAGCTGGTGCAGATGTGCCGTCATCACAGGGGTAAGTCTGACAAATCATCTCGCAGGATTTACTTTGATTTCTTTTTATTTCATTTAATTACATTATTTAATTATGTTTTAATTGAATTGACCA